ATGTCACTTTTCCCCATTCATGTGTATTGGGCCGGTACTTTCAGATATCTGAAATGTCATTACTCCTATCTAAAATAAACATTCTGGATGTCTAAAAATAATCCATAATCCGGTTGTTACTGCTCATAATTTTTTATTATATAATAATTATTATTTTATTGTGACTAGGTAGAATGCTTTAGTGCTATCTATGATGGAAATGTTAGTCAGCCTTCCTATTTTTTGTTAAAACGGAGCCTCGTTATTCTTTGATCTAAAACTGCATTTTAGAAAGGCATTATTAAAACTGATACATCTGTAATTCTAATTTAACTTATCATATATCAATAGTTTATATCTGTAATTATATTTCTACTAGCAGAAATATATTTTTGATGTAAAGAATTGGATTCCTGGATATCTAGAATGTTGTATTCATTTCCGATATCTGAAATAGTAATTTTGACTAGCATACCTCATTACAGAGATTTGAACTTAGAGTTAATCCTCGTCAGGATTCATTTTTAGAGAAGAAGAATGTTTATTTTTAGGAATGTGGACGTAAAAGCCCAATTCACAAAAATGGGAAACAGTGACGTCATTTGTAATACTAAGAATACATTTCAGATATCTGGAATGTTTATTCTAGATATGAAGAAATGCAACATCCGGGTCAGATATTCAGTCCTGCTAATAAATGTCAAAACGGCCTGCCATAGCCCTGCGCTCCACGCTCCTGGTTGGAACAGCGGGATGTCGTTTAAAGACTGAAGCTGTACATTCCGAGGTGATTTGAATGTAACATAATTATCTAGGGTATCTGCGCACTAAAAAAAACATGAGAATAAAAACAGGAAATGAGGAACAAGAAGCGCTGTAATCAGGATCAGTCAATAAATCTGCCTCCATCTCTGGACAGAAACACTAATAAATCTTATTATCTGTCCAAATAATAAGTGAATGTCCAAATTCCGAGGTGTCCCTGAAAGCACCGCTGTGTTGTCACCGCTGACGTAGCTGCCAGTATCGCGCTTCAAACACGTGTTGAGTCGATCTGAGCGTCGCTGGTTCCGACAGGAGCCTGAACGGAACCAGAACTTCGGTGTTTGGTCCAGCTGAGACCCGGCGGTCCGAGCCTGCTGCTCGGTTCTGTTGGACCGGATCCACCGGTGGGAAGCTTCTGGTGAGCTGAAACCTGAGCGGGCAAACTGGGATCAACTTTAACCTCCGCTCAGACAGGAATATCTTCTTCAGGGGCCCCTGGGGGCCCCGCGGCGCTGCTAGCAATGGCGGGGTTTCAGTGTTATTTTGAAAGCAGCCCATTAGTAGGTGTTTCATCCGCATTAGCTGCACATGTGTCCTCTGTAGCTTTAGCTCTTTAAGCTAACAGTTTCTCTGCTGTGATGTGATGCTAACATTAGCAATAACAGCTAATTAGCTCTTAGCTCAGAGCTAACTGGAGCTGGGGTACCAGTTCTGGCTGACTTCTTCCACACTGTCAGCCTCCATGAGCGGGGTTCCTCATTTTCACTAAAACCAGCAGGTCACCGCCCGCCCGGACTGCGCCCTATCAACAGCCGAGCGCCTCCAGCTTTGTGCCGGGAAAGTTTCCTTCATTAATATTCATGATCTTAGTTTAATTCTGGGAGGTTTTAGCAGCAAACATCTGGATTAATCTCCTCTGAAGTTATTTCCCGCTTTTATTAGTTTAATTTAAATTAATCCAACAGATTAATCGGAAAGATTAAAGCTAAGAAAGCAGATTTTTCTGTCTGGTGAGAAAGATCCAGAGCAGAACCTCCAGTTCAGTCCTCAGGTGAGAGTCCAGGTGAAGATCAGTGTGTCAAAGTCCAGCCAGAATGTTCTGGTCAGATGATGGATTATCCAGGTTCACTGGTCAGATGATGGATTATCCAGGTTCACTGCTCGGGGGGGTGTGAGGAAAAAGGCAGTTATTCTGGACACATAGGTGGGATTAAGCTGGGGTTAGAAGAGCAGAAGCTGCTCTGACTGGTTTTAATTTCCCTGCCTTTAAAGGAATAGTACACCCAAAACATGATTAGCCTTCATTTTCTACTCCCCCCCATGCTGAACAACACTCTGG